AGACTTCATGAGGGTGGCCAGAGGGCCCAACATCTTCTAGTGGACCATGTCCTCACTGCCCAGCACCATGGCGTGTGATTCATCCATTGAATATCAAAACAGCTCTACCAATGGCACCCTGTGGTCTTCACAAATGAGAGCAGATTAACCCTGAGCACATGTGACAGACATGAAAAGGTCTGAAGAAGCTGTGGAGAACGTTATCATCATCCAGCATGGCTGCTGGGCTGGAGGGACGCACGGACCTCTACAGGATAGGCGACAGCACCATGACTGCCATTAGGTATTGGGATGAAATCCTTGGACCCACAGTCAGGCCCTACGCTGGTAGTTGGTCCTGGATTCCTCCAGCCTCTTGTGGTATGAGAGTATGCAGGCAGATCTGGATGGAGGAACTGATGCTGACTGTCCCCCACGCTCGCCTGACCTAAACCCAGTAGAACCTCTGGGACATGATGTTTCAGTCCATCCCAATCTGACAGGTTTCTCCTCAGACTGTCCAGGAGCTCAGCGATGAGCTGATCCAGATCCTGACCCATCTCAATGTGAACATGTACCAATGTTGTCAGGCTTGCATACAAACATGTGGCAAACCACAGAGTACCATTTTGAGTTGCTGCAAAGAAATATTGTCAAAGCGTACTAGCCTGCCGCATCATATTTTACTTTCAGAATGTCTTTAAAATGATCAAACTACCTCTGTAGGTTGTTAAATTTGATAATTGATCTTTTTTATTTCCATCCATTAAGCAGCGTGGCGTCCTTTCATCCTCTGCTTCCTGATATGTTATCCAGTCCAAGCGGAGATCCAGTGCCATCTTTTTGATTTGATGAGTTTCTGAAGTGTTCCTTTTATTTAGTTTATTTATTCATTTATTTTAACAGGTATATTCTTTATCTATTAAATAAGGTCAAGACTTCAGTAGTCCAAGTTGTCCAAGTAAAACCTGTGAATACTTGAAACAAGGGCGGCCAATCAAGGTAAAGATGTCATAAGAAAGGATGAAAAGGCCCGATATGAGATAAATTAAGACTTTTTAAAAATGCGACTCATTCAAAGCTCCTCTGCTAGAGTTTAATAACAAATCATTTGTAATAAATGGCCACATCTGGTCCGCTTTAGTAGATATTCTGGTTAAATAATGTTTTATTATTGCTCACGTGGCAGAGCAGGTCATCTACCAATCAGATGGTTTCCCTGATGGTATCAGTGGGCGAGAAACTGAACCCTGAGTTGTCCCAATGCAGTCACTGCGTCACATGTCAATGACAAATAGATAAAGGCGCTGTCTGAATGTGAGACTGGGCGAGTGCAGTAGCAAGCGGTTAGAGAAAGGTACCAAATAACAACGTTTACCATAACTCATAGCATAAAAACACTGGCAGTGGTCCCCCGAGGCCTCCTAGTGGATGCACCTTTGGTGTGAATTTCAAATCCTAGCTGACTTCCTTCTTGAGTTATCACATACCTCTGACCTTGACCTTTAAGTTAAGGTCACTAAGATTCAAACTGGTCAACAATTTTTAGTAGATACACCCATGGTATCAATCTAAGGAGCTTGGAAAGAAACGCGTCTGGACTCCTTTAAGTTGCTTGAAGACGTTTCACCTCTCAGCAGAGAGGTGGTGGAGAGTCCCAGACGCTTTTCTTTCTAAGCTCCTTAGACGATGATGACCTGGATGACTGAGAACCTTCAGGGACACCATGGTATCAATCTGAGACTCCTACGTCACTTTGTTCTCGAGATACTGCATTCACAAACATCGCCCGCCCGCCCAGCGTGGTGACAAGAAGGGTATACCGTCAATAAGCTGCGAGTCTGTCACATGCTTAACACAGAGACAACCATTCACACTCACATTTACACCTGTGGGTAATTTAGAATCACAAATGAACCTGACAAGGCTAACTGCATGTCGTTGGACTGGGACGAAGCCAGAAAACTATCCAAAAGGCCCAATGCAGCCGGAACGTGACGATTTTTGATGTGAATTTCTGAACTAAAAGCTAATGACGCACTCACTTTCTCAGTGCTGGCCGCCATCAGAGCATCAAGTTCCCGAGTCCAGCCAAGAGCATCAACCAGAGCTTGCACACCGCTCACCACATCACCCAGCTGCGCGACGTCATTAGGCCGGCGGCTCCAGGTGAACGGCCCCACCAAGTCCCTGTTGATGAGAAGACGGGGCACAGAACTGCGAACGGCTCCAGCAAGACTGGCAAAAGGCTCCACCTAAAGAGCAAAGAGTTACTGTAACTGCAGCCCTTTATGAACCCTCAAACAAGAATGTAGATGATGCAGTGACACTCCATGTACATGTTGCAGCTGTAACACATGGTGCCATGGACATGCAGTGGTTATACTGTGGTTACTTTATCATACCACAAAGTTACCAACCAAACATTTCAAAGAGAAGATGAGCCACATTGCTTTTCACCCGCCAAGCTTTACTTCCTCACATCTTCTTTTTTAAATAGCATCAAGTATTTGAACAAAGAAGCATTTTTTGTTATTTTGCTGTTATATCCAAGTTAGTTAATGACTTTCACCCAAGTGTTGTAACAATTCTTATATTTAAACTGATTTTAATTTGTCCAGTTACTTTTGAGCCTCTGAAAATGGCTGTGACTCCTAAACAGGTCTTCTGTTCATAACACAGCGCTTTTGTTTAAACCCTTGAATGCAAGTCTGAACAATCACGTTTCGATTGTTTGATTTAAAATCCAAACACTTACAGGCCTCACTGTGTGAAGGTAGTGTGTTTCCTGCCTGAGTTTGAAGCTCACCTCCAGTGATGTGCCCATGATGATCAGCAGGTCTGCCAGTGGGAAGTCTGTGATATACTTGAAGAAGTGTCGTGGAAGCTCCTCACCAAAAAACACGATGTCAGGCTTTACCACGCCCTTACAGGTGGGACACTTGGGGACCGTCCCACTCATCACGTCGGGCTAACAAAACACAAAATGTCAAATTACTGTCTACAAGTGATTTTTTTTTCCAACTAAATGTTTTAAACTAATCAGAGTATGACATAAATACACCAGATTTCAATGAAAATACAACCTGAAAAATCCATTAAAAAAAGAAAGAAATAATTGCTTATTTGCAAATTGTTTGAATGAATTATGAGAACTCAAAAGTTCACCTGTACAAGTTTGAGGGAAAAACATATTTCTTGTAGACAGCAGATGCCTGTTTTTTTTACTTGACAGGAAAAACACAAATGCATTCGACTCATCTGAAACTTGCAGCGCAAACAAACAAAATCCTTGTTACAGAGGAACAGAAGAAAGCATAAATCCACACAGTTGACGTGAAGTTTGGGTCTTACAGCAACGCAGACTCTGAACATCAGAACGGAACAAACACTACACGCATCCTAATCATGTGCTGAACAGCTGCTCAACATCTCAGTCTGGTCATTGGTTTATTATCCTGCCAACTTAAGAAGCGCTGCTTTCTTCCTTGCTTGTTTAGCAAAAAATCAATCAAATCAAAACAAACAACAAGGACATTTTTCACAACACCAACACCTGATAAAAAACAAAACAGAATAAAACTCAAGCTAGTCTGCGACCCCTGATACAGTGAGGCACGTAGAGCCCTTAGCACGGAGGAAACTTTCACCCTGATTTATATTAATTCACATGGCACATGTAACTTTCACATCTCTGAAGGCATCACTGATTACTGGGAAAAAATTCCATTCACCTCTAAAGATCTCACGACTCTACTGTCCTGAGTTTTCCTAAAAACACTTTGAGGGATGAATGTTGGGTTGTTTTTGGAGGTTTTCTGGCATTTTAGAATTCCATTATCTAGTGTCAGTGTACTAGTTTCAAAGTTGGAACGACTAATATAGCTATGAAAGCAAAATGAAATTTACAGCCAGAAGCTGTGTGTCACCAGTATGAGTAGCACTGTTCATCACATCCCAAATTTGAAAAAAAAAATTCTGAATCGTTTTTATGCAATAGTGCGTTCTGACTCACTCTGAGGTCCTCGCCCTCATATTTCCTCAAGCAAGCGGTGCAGGTGGCAGTGGCAAACGTGCCGTGGGCCTCCACCAGCATCTCAGGAGGAATCCCTGCTACTAGAAAGAGGCATAAACACAGAAAACAAGCACATCAAGTTCACTGTCACAGTCTCTGTGATGCACGGTTACGTCAAACAACTAAACTTCGTACGTCTTTCCAGGCCATCAATGTTCTGTGTGTACATCCGGAGCAGCTGACCCTTCTTGTGAAGCAGATATACAAAGTAGTGTGTCAGGTTGGGGCGGTAGTTTCCTGGATACAGCTCTTTGGCCAGGGCGAAGAAGGGATTTGGGTTATGGTGGAAAAAGCTAATCTCAAATATGGCCTCGGCGTAAGGCAGGTCATACTGCTGCAGGTTGTCATAGAGACCACTGCCTGGAGACCTGCAAGTGAATCCAAATGAAACTGTTGATCGAGACCAGAATGCACCTTGTCTTTACTGATATGGGTAGACGCCAGGGCAGGAAACCACAGCTAGCCATATTACCTGAAATCTGGGATGCCACTGGGAGTGCTGATCCCCGCTCCAGCCATCACCACGACCCTCTTGAACTGCTGCTCCCGGATGCTCTTTGCGATATCCTCCAGGGTCTGCTGCTTAGCGGACGAACTTCCACCGTGGGAGAAAAACCCTCGGGTCTGAGTCCAGCAGAGAGATCGTGCATGTCTGGGAAAAGTAAACGGCTGGTCTTGTAATTGAAAGGTTGCTGGTTTGAGCCCCGGCTCCGACAGTTTCGGTCATTGTGTCATTGGGCAAGACACTTCACCCGTTACCTACTGGTGGTGGTCAGAGGGCCCGGTGGCGCCAGTGTCCGACAGCCTCGCCTCTGTCAGTGCGCCCCAGGGTGGCTGTGGCTACAATATAGCTTGCCATCACCAGTGTGTGAATGGGTGGATGACTGGATGTGTAAAGCGCTTTGGGGTCCATAGGGACTAAGTAAAGCGCTATACAAATACAGGCCATTTACATAGCACCCTTCTACTCAATTTGAGCACTCAAAACACTTTGTGCTTCACATACAGCGGGTTTAGTAAGTATTGAACATGTCACCAATTTTCTAAGTAAACATATTTCTAAAGGTGCTTGTTTGTTTGTGGCGCAGCTGCAGGGAGACCGACACGCCTGCTTAGAAAGTATGAACTGGGTCATGAGGCTGTTCTTGTGTATGTGTGGCTGGCAGCTGAAAAGCTGCAGCCGGGGATTGGAAAGCAGCAATCTAATACAGAAGTGTGCTGGAAAGTGAAACGTGTGGTCAGGTCCGTCACTCCTGTCACAGTGCTATTGACATGAAAGTCGGATGTTGGTAACAACTCATCCACACATGCAAAGAAATCAAAGCATAGATGTCCATAAATCAAGTTATGTGAAAAAATAATGAGACATGGAAAAAGTACTAAACACATGAAGTCATGACAGCAGCTGAACTCTGTCAGCTAGAAAGTGCAAATAATACCAGCTGCTTCAGTCCCAGTTGGTGTCATATTACCAAAGTATCACACAATAAACATCTGATGAGGGATAAAACCAAGGAGCTCTCTCAAGACTGTTGCAGCTTTGTTGTTGCAAAGCATACTGATGGCACTGCGTACAGAAGAGTTTCCAAACTACTGAAGGTTCCAGTGAGCACTGTTGGGGCCAGCTTGGAGCTGGAGTTCTTTGAGTTTCCTGAAGGTGTTTCACCTCTCATCAGGGAAGCTTCTTCAGTTCTAAGAGCAAATCGTGGAGAGTCCCAAGTATTTAAGCCCTAGTTGGAGTTATCCCTTAAGACAGCTGTTGACCCAGTGTTGATCAAGGGCCTCATCACATGAGCCAAGGTGCGAAGAAAGGGCGTGGGGCATTATCAGCTGACGTTTCAGGGGAAACCTTGCCCCATCATGTGACCTACTGATGAACTGACACAAGATGTGACACTGTTAAGGCGCCTGGGAAGGGCTCTCAAAACTGGATTATAGGTGGCAGTTGTCATAAGCCCCGCCCTCTGTTCAAGGGTGGCTTCTGTCACTCCTCTTTCAAACTACCTGTCTTCTCTGTCCAAAATGTGAACGTTTATGAAGTGTCTGTTTGCTCTCTCCAGTGTAGAGGTCTGAGCATGCCTCGCTGCACTGCACAGCATACACTACGTTGTTTAGTATGTGTTTGGGAGTTTCAGAGAAAGAAAATAAAGTGTTTTGAAAAGCCCAGCCAATCACCTGACCAAATGAACATCTATGGAAAGAACTAAAGGGCAGATGGAACCTTCAGACATTTGAAGAGTGTATGGAAGAAAATCACACCTGAGCAATGTATGCAAGTTGTTTCTCCATAGAGGAGGCGCTGTCATCACAAAGCACTTTTAATTTGTCATTGACACACCCTCCGATGGATATACCAGGGGCAACTCGGAGTTCAGAATCATTCCCAGAGACACTTCAACACTGGGACTGGAGAAGATGCACTGATGTTCCCACTGATCCAACATTAGGAACGAGAATCAGAGTAACTCATAATAGGACATCACACGGCATCCCTATAGTTGTAATGCTCATTAGACTGACTAAAATATCGCTACATGCAGCGTTGACAGCCAGGTGATGCCTATATTGCATCACCTGGACTCCGCTGTCATGTTTCTTGTATCCATGCAGGTACCTGGACAGAACTGTTGCACCTTCACTTGGAAACGAGCTCCTTTGATCGAAGCCTAGAAATCAAATACTTGTGTCAAATATAATAGGTCATACATGCATTTTGTGTTGCATCATTTGAGCTCTCTCTGTGCACTAACCTTTAGCGGAGAGCGTCCAGCTTGCTCTTGACCGCAGACTTCGACAGAGTCTGGCAGGTAACAATAACAAAGAGCAGCTAACAGAAGAAGCCATAACAAAGCTGTAGGATTCAAAATAAACTTCACGCACACTTTCACTGCATGGCTCTTGCTGTCACCGTTTTACAGAAGCCGATTTTAGCTCCTTTGAAAATAGCTATATAGAATGACTGCCTACAGACCTGCAGAACTGTGTCCTTTGACCTCCTTTTTGACAGTTCTGTAATATACGACGTTACAACTTAGCTTCACTTGCACAAACTTGCAATTTATAATGTATCCGTCGTTTGCTTATTAAAAATATATCCCATAGCAATAAACATAAGGCGACTGACTGCACCCAAACAACTTAAGTTACAGAAAATCTTAGCTAGCAATAAAAAAAAAACCCAAAACGCCTCCTTCATTTCCCATAATTCTTTGCGCCTGGCAGCAACAGCGCAGTCCCATTACCACAACACGACAGGCTGCTTGACATTAGCTAAAAAAATTCAACAACACGTATTAGTATAGAATAAACTACATTTTGTCGCTATCATGAAAGATGTTACTGGGTACCTCAAGCAGCAGCAGAGTAACAGCCCCACGCCGGAGCTGGCGTCGGAATGGCACGCGCTGGAGGATTTGTACAACAAAAGGTACAAAAGTCGTAAGAAGTGGCAGCTAGCCGCTAGCGCTAGCCTAGCTTACATTAGCTAGCCCATTCATTGGAAATGCAAGCTGAGTCATGCACGGAGCTGAGGTTAGCTGTTGTAGCATAGCTTTAGCTCACGTTGGCAGTAAGCTTAAGCTTTAAATTCGGAACAAAATGATATTGTTTTCTAAACACTAATTGAGTTTTAGGTTTGAGCCCAGCACTAATATTTAGGGCAGCGGGAGTCTATTTGTTGTGCTGTCACAGGTTTTTGTAGCTGTTACTGTGCATCCTTGCTAACAGTGTCAATTAACCGTAAAACAAGAAAACAACCTGTAACTGTTCAAACAGTCTTTTAATCAGTTTGACAAGCAATAATCGCGAAACAAACATCTAATTTCTCGCCTCCATGATATCAGGATTTGTTTTTCCTTATTATGTGTCAGTTGACTCTATATGCATTTGGTATTTTGACAGTGTTCAAACAAAGCAAATAATTAAAGACGGTCCTTTTAGCTATGCAGTGGCCAATTTTTCAGTTTTTAACCCTTATAAACGGATAATGGTTTGTAATTGAAGTTCACAGGCTAACTGAAAGTTCTGATATGTAATATTATAAAGTGGGAGACAGACTAAAAAGAAACCTTAAGGGAATCTGGTGGATCTGTTATGGGGGTGCTTTGCTGACATAGTTTGGATCTCCTGCTCCCTTAAAAGGAAGGGCCACTGCAGTTCAATTCTGTGTTGTTCATCGTGATTTCAGCAGCAGGGAGGGACTCACTGAAAAGTGTGCTGCAGAAGGGGGGGGGGGGCAAGACTAAAATAATGAGAACTCTGGTCGCTGACACTGTGGCATAGACTGTAGTGTTAAACCATCACCATTCAAACACCAGTATCGAACACGTGGTGACCCTCGTTGGCTTTTCCTTTGATTTGGCACAGATATACATATCTTCCCACTGGATGACTGTTCTCAGGAATGATAATTGCTTTCTGTTCCTGTCTGGCTATCAAGACCCCACACCTTTGGAGCGGAAGTCGCAAGTTCGATTCCCTAATAAGGGAGTAAGGGTCTTGGCTAGGCCCCCCATGCCAAATGCCAAGCCCTGGAAAGGCACAGCTATGTCTTCAGCTCAGACACGACACATTTCACTGCATGTTGTACTCTGTATGATTGTGTATGTGACCAATAAAGCTTGTTTCCAAAAGATTCTGTGTAAATTCAGGTAGTGCTCAGTCTGTTTGGCCTTGTTGGTCTAGTCTAGTCCATAGAATGAGTACTACTCTATGGGGGTGTCATGTGTAGATGGGATTTTTGGTGAATAAAGTCTCTCAGCTCTTCATTGCACTCTTCTCATATTTTGATGTAGTTTTTTGGCTGATATCATGAATTAAAAGGAACTGGCAGTTGTGACTGATTTGAACTGTTTTCTTTGTTCTGCCCTTAGATTGTGGCATCAATTGACTCTGAAGCTGATGGTCTTTGTCAGAGATCCCTGCTTCAAAACAGGCGATGGTATCATACAGGTAACTGCATCTCAGCCACTCTTTGTAATGCTTTACACAACATACAAGAGTAAGCATGATTGTCAGATATTGAGAACAAAGTAATTCTGTTGCCTTATTTGTCAGAAATGTATCAGTATTTCAATAGAGTATTACCAAAAATTTAATGATACTTGACACACACACACACACACACACACCCCCGGCAGTTTGCCAGGTGTTTATGTATTTTTTTACACTATTGGAGAGGTGGAGGGGTTAGCTAAAACCCCTTTCGGCTGTGTGGTATACAACAGTATATGAGTTCCAGCTGATGGCATCACAGGTGCCTTATTGGACCAGATCTTGGGTTTTTTTCCACTAATCCAGGTTGTTTTAGCTGCACCAGACTGTGGTGATATATTATGTGTTTGCACTGCAGCTTCACAGCACTGGATAGTCCCACTGAGACGCACTGCTGTGGTTCAGTAGCAGGGCCCGCGCTGGCCACCCAATGCCAGTCTGTTCCTCTGCCCTCCTTTTCAAAACTGTGCTGCAGACTAGAGAATATACTGTTTTTAATGCCCCATGTTCACATCAAAACATATATTATTTGCAGTACTTGTTTGTACTTTCACTTCAAACTTGTTTTACTTTTAGAGATCATTTTTAGCTATAACACATCTGAATTACTGCTAATACAAGCTGAACTCTGTCAGTTTGAACTGCTTCACCCTGAAAACGTTGCAGCGTTGAACATGAGTGGGTTCTCATCTTTACATACTTTACCTGTTTGGTCATTCACAGCTTCTTATTTTTATTATTGGACTCTAGCTTTGCATGACTCATAGTTCATTTGCATGGACTCTGGCTTAAATAGACAGGGGCTTAAATCAAATCTTTTTCTTATTGGCTGGCCCCAGCAGGCAGAAGGTTTGAGCAGCAGGTGGGTGGGGCTTCTGTGCTTACAGCCAGAACTGCGTTGACAGGGGCAATGACAGGGGTTCCTTACACATACTGTGAAACATTATCATGTTTATTAGTGCTTAATATGAGCATCCACCTTTGATACAGGGTGTAGAAAATAAGGAGAAGCAGAACAGGCCTTCTTTAAGCACATACATGCATAGATTTGACCAGCATGCAAATGGAAAATACATTTCATAACAAAGTATCTGTACAGTTCTGCTGAAAATGACAAGTGATGCCACTAAATTATTCCGACGCCTACATGGTCTCTTGTCATTGTCATAATTAGTTTATCTTGAATATTTAAGTTTATGCAGCAGCAGTTTGTCGTACATGTAGACTTACTGCATACTAGTATATATTAAAACATATCATACCAAAGAGGCCCTTGGTACAAATATTCACTAATGTCATAGCTACATTTCTAAGGTAATGAATAACACTGTCCACTAAATATTCTCTCTTTTCCGTTTCTTTTTTTTCCTTCCAGCTTTATGACAATTTCATGAGTGACTTTGAACACAGGTGAGTTGTTCATCCGCTTGTCCTAAACAGAGCAAATACAAGTATTTACTGTTTTTTACCTGTTAATTTATAATTTTTGTTCCTTTATCAGAATCAATCCATTGTCGCTGGTGGAGATTTTACTGTTCGTTGCCAGACAGATGTCAGGTACGGAGAAATGGGAATATTTTCTTTCTGTTTTAATTCATTTTTTGGCATTAAAATCCAACGCTGTTTGTGTCTAGATCAAAAAGATGCCATCGTTTTTCTTGAAAAGACCAGGGAAAAGGTAAGATGACCAGACACCAGCATGACAGGTTGCTTTGAAGTTACATTCTGTAAAGTGCACTTTTGACCAAACGTCTGCGCGTCTCCACCTGGTTCAGGTGAAAAGCAGCGAGGAAGCAGTGATTCTCTGCAAGACCGCCATCGGCAATCTTAGACTTGAGATCAACGACGTTCCTGCCACAAAGGTAAAACTCTGAGCGAGGTGTTGGCAGACTTGAGCTCAGATATAGCATGTGACAGAGCGTTTCCAACTGCCTGGAACGTTCACGTGATGTTTCTGCCTGTTAGCATGAGAAAAACCAGCAGCTGTTAAACCCACAAGTGCAGTCCAAATGGCACTTGGGTGTAGATATCCTTGAAATAACTCGTAGGTGTTAAGTCATCGTTTTCTTGCTGCCACACTCATGCACACCTGACATTTTCCCTTCCTCCAATCTTTGCGCTCATTGTACAAAAATGTGACATCTCCACCTCCTTCCTCACAGACGTCACCGTTCACAAACTCCAAAATTAGGATGAATGCACAGCCTTACACCCAAGCGCATGGAGAAGAGGGAATCAGTGAAATCTGTATTTCAAAGACAGTCAGTTGAGATAAGGTTATATATTCCAATTGAGTTAGCGTAAATGCTCAAGTTAGAGCTATATGGGCTGCAACAACCTTCTTTTTTGTGATATTCACTGAAGTCAGAACACATGTTGGGTGGTGGTGTCACTGATGGACAAAAAGTGCAGCTGTTTTCTGACTGTGGCTGTGAGAGAAACAACAGGACACAAATGAAAATGTTAAAAAGAAGTAGGATGTGTATAAAATCCAGCTTCACTTTGCAGCCATAGGAGTTGCTGCCTCCGTGGCCATTAAGAAGAACACAGGTGTGGGGCACTTTCACATCACCTTCCATCTTTTTTATACAGTCTGTGGTAAAACGGGGTGTTAACCTGATCCACGTCTGTAAATAAAGTGTGTGTGGAGAGGAGAAACCCCCCGAGGTTGGGTTTAAAAGCAGTGATCCATCCACTTATCGCCTTCCCTGTTTTTTCCACTTGTAGAAAGAAATTGAAGAAATTGAGGAAACGTTGAATAACTTGCCTGGAGTGACGTCAGTCCACGGCCGCTTTTATGACCTCTCCAGTAAATACTATCGCCTTGTTGGAGACCACGCTGCCTACTATAAGGACGCCTTGCGCTACCTGGGCTGTGTGGACATCAGATGCTTTCCAGGTAAACAACAGCATGAATTAAGCTGCGTGTCAGTCAGAACACAGCAGATCACTCGTATTCAGTTCATTTTGTAATTGTTGTTCACAGAGACGGAGAGGCAGGAGAGGGCGTTCACGCTCGGCCTGGCTGGACTCTTAGGAGAGGGAGTTTACAACTTTGGAGAGCTGGTGGGATTTGAACTCTGTTAGCCACATGTTGTGTAGCTCGACCTGCCTGTGCTGATTACTCGTGTGGCTTCTCTGTGCAGCTGATGCATCCTGTGCTGGAGTCGCTGAGGAACACAGACAAGCA